TATTTGCTGGGAAATTTGCCCCTATGAAGAAACTGTAATTTAAAGGTCATAAAAGTAGTGCTCTCGATATTAAATAAGCAGATGAATTTTGGAAGATAGAATTTGCTTCAGTGGATAGAACATATAGGCAGGCTGATTTAAGATTACAACAGAATGATTTTTGTCTCAGTTCATTTAGCTGCCTGAAATGCCTGGTCATTGAACATGTTTATTAAAAGGCTCGCTATATAGAAATACATGCCAAGATAGGGTGATAGACTGTCTGTGGCAGACCCCTGAGCATATATTACTCAGGTTGATTAGGGTTCTAATCCCAAGATTGCTATTCCATAGCTTTGTGACCCTAGATACATTGCTTTATCTTAGTTTAGTCAAGTATGTATCAAAGCATTAGTGTAAGAATTAAATGAGATAGTACATATAAGTATCCAACAAACTGTCATTCATATAGTTACTCCTTAAGTAATATTACTTCTGCACTTCCAATTGTTTTAACACATAAATTCTGTGATTCTTAGATTCTGCTCTCAACCCCCAGATGGATGTATAACTAACTAGTGAGTTATACTCCCCAAATAGAAATAATAAAGTATTTTGGGGCCTTAGAGATGACTATGAGAAATATCCCATAAGAGTAAAGCTTATTTCTAAACAGTATTAGTTTAATTTATTGATGAAGTCATAGCCTGGTACCAGGATGATATTCAATAAAACTTATTATTCTTGGACATGTAAAAAACAGTAATAATTACGTAGATACCAAAATGCCTAGCACAAATAAAAATTGTTTAAAATTTTTAAAGTAACCTAAATATGGGTATATTAATCAATTATTTATTCAAAGACAAGGATATAATCTTACAGATAAATTATATTTATCTGTATAAATTAGCTTCTTAAGGAAAAATCTGGTTCTGATGTGCCTTCGCAATTTGACAGGAAATTAAATGGGGAAGATAATCAGTGAAAAACAATAATATAAAGTTCAGAAAACCAGAACATTGAAAGAAATGTTAAGAGTTTTTGGTCTAGAAAAGGAAAAAGATTATCTCACTTTCTAATAACATAATTATGATATATATGTAGATAGAGAAAAGTGTTGGTTTTATATATATATATATTTTTTTTGTTTGTTTGTTTGTTTTTATAGTAGACCAGGAAAGAAAAATTCAGGTTACCAAAGGCCTCACTTTATTTAAATAAGGTGAAAATGATAATGTCTCTTATTATCTTATTAATAGGTAGACATGCAGCCACCTACAATCAATACATTTGGCTTTATTTAAAACTCCTTGAGTTGGATAGAAATAGACCAGCACATTTTTTGAATAGATTAGGTCTCATCTTATCTGAATTTTTAGGTTGGAACTACAGTACACATTGAAATTGTCTGGAAATAGCAATTTCTTCGGGCTATTAAAAGTTGAAATGTGAGTTTGAAATGACTACAATTGAAAGCAATTGTGCTCTAAGGATTATGTGTCCTGGTAGAAGGAGATTTGGCATGAAAACTATTTCTTTGCGTTATCATGAATGCAGAAACTGTGGTGTACTGATTTTCGTTATATTTAGATAATAATATAACAGTATTAGTAATTTTTAAGGGTTTTATTTGTAAGTGGAAGATATACATAGTGAAATAGCCATCTAAGCACTGGGGCTTGAAGAATTAAGTAATTTAAATAGGAAAATTGAGATTACCAATAGTAATTTCTAATGTTCAGATTCCTCAAAAGCTGTCACAGATGTGTCACACACCTGTCCAGATTTTTCCAGGCTTCCAGGCAAAGTTGTCAATATGCTTACTGTAAACACCCCGTTCTAGCATCTCCCTCCTAGAGCCTTCATCCTGTTTCAGTCTGAACTGGTTGCTCTCGAGGCCTTTGCACAACTGTTCTTCCTAGGTCTTAGATTTCTTGCCTCCTACATCTGTGTATTCCTTCTTTTACATCTCCTTTATTTTGTTTTAGCCATCCTTTAGGATGTCTTAGGAGGTGAAGTTTTGAGTCCTTGCCTGACTGAAAATGCTGTTAATCTGTCGTCACCCTTTATTGATAGTTTGTCTGGACATAGAAGTCTTGAGTGTGAAGAATTTAACCTCTGTATTTTGAAGGCATTATCTTTTAAGTTTCATTATTGCTGTTGAGAGGTTTGATGACATTTTTGAACTTGATCCCTTTGTTTGTTACTTGTTTGTCTGTTTGGAAACTCTTAGGCACTCTTCTATCCCTTGTTTTGGAATTTCACAGTGATACTCTGGTTTGGAGCATTCTTTGTGCTGTTCATTCACTCATTCTTTCAGTCTGGAGACTCACGTCTGAAATTCTGGGAAAATTTCCAGTAATTCTTTAAAAGAAACTTTCATTCATTTACTTCCTCTATTTTTTTCTTTATGGAATGACTATAGCTACATGATAGCTGAGATTGATGGCCTGATAGTGTAATATTTTTTCTCTTATTATCTTTTTTGTTACGAGCGTAAATTATTATTATTTGTTGTACTTTAATTTCTGGGATACATGTGCAGAACATACAGGTTTGTTACATTGGTATACACTTGCCATGGTGGTTTGCTGCTACAAAGAGAATAAAATACCTAGGAATACAACTTACAAGGATTGTTTATCTTTTTATTCTAGTTTCTGGGAGATTTTCTGGAGTTATCATCTAAACTTTCTATTGATTTTAATTTTTTTCAGACTTTAGAATTTCTTAAAACTCTTTCTTCCTATCTAAAATTTTCTATTTTTACTTTTTAGAAAAGTTTAGTTTCGTCTAATAGCCTCCTACTCTTAATTCAGCTCTAAGGATATTAAATATAAGTTTTGGAGTTCTCTTCAGCTGTTTGAATTGTCTATGTTTTCTTGTAGTTCTTTTTATGTTGTTCAATATAAACATCATTTTGTATTTGTGTTTCCTCAAATATCTGGTGGTTGGCTATTAATTTGTATTCAAAAGGAAGGTATTAAACTGAATTGGAAACATTGCATGTGGGTTTCATTCCAAGAAAATAGGACTTCAAGGGGCTTTTTTCTTTGAGATACTGTTAAATCAGTGTTTCAGAACTCTGTGGGGAGCACTTCTGCTGGTCCTTTTCCTTTCTAATGGCATTTAGGTTTTGGTTTCCTTTCTTCTGCTGTTAGTTATCTGTCTGTTTACCCTATTTACAAAGTCATCCACCTGCATTGCTATTGTTTTTTCCTCCATTTTGCTTGTTTTCATTAATATATACCCTTTCTATTCATTTATTGTCATTTTATAGTTATTTCCAGAGGACACAGAGATAAATACATACAGTCAATATGTTAGATTTAACCAGAGTTGGGTAGATATTTTAAAGTATCATGTGAATTTTCATGTCATTACTTAGTATTTATAATTATAATTTTAAATAACTGTATAATTTTATGCTGAGTAAAGATACTGTAGTTTACCTAATGTCCTTTTTTATTACTACTTTCAGTTTCTGATTCAAAAGGCATCATTCATAGTCACTAACAAATCAGACATTATATGAAAAAAATCCTGTTAGAATCCTGTTTTCTACGTTCTACTTACTGATTTTTAAATTTTACATGTTATGTGTATGTACTATTAATCTGTGTACAATTATGTAGTAAAAGCATCACAATATTTTCTCTTAAAAGTACCATGTTAATGCTTTGAAGAAAAGTAATGAGTATTTGTCAATTGATAATTAACAACAATGTATTTTGTGATTTCCTCTTATTCTACATGAAAAGTGTACAGTTTAACATTAAAATCTTTAGACATTTAAAATATACTAATAGTTTAATTTTTAATAAGGAATGTAGATTTTGTTTTATATAAATGATTTTTAGTTATAATATTTAGCTATCATAAAAATTATACTTTTATCTAGTACAATGAATTAAATTTTGAATTATGTTTGGTTTTGATATATAAGCCATTTAAAATTTTTTGTAATTTTTAGAATAGTCTTTTTGATATTTGTATTGAGTTATTTTGAAATTTGCCATCATTCTTAAACATCATTTCTGAAGAACTGAAAAACACATAGTTCTGTTGTATTATATACTCCAGCAACATTTTAAAAGGAGATATTTTTAATCTTTTGTTTTAAAAGCTTTTTAAAATTAGGTTTTTTTAAAAATTTATTTATTATTATTATACTTTAAGTTGTAGGGTACATGTGCATAACGTGCAGGTTTGTTACATATGTGTACTTGTGCCATGTTGGTGTGCTGCACCCATCAACTCGTCATTTACATCAGGTATAACTCCCAATGCAATCCGTCCCCCCTCCCCCCTCCCCATGATAGGCCCCGGTGTGTGATGTTCCCCTTCCTGAGTCCATACGACCCAGCCATCCCATTACTGGGTATATACCCAAAGGATTATAAATTATGCTGCTATAAAGACACATGCACACGTATGTTTATTGTGGCACTATTCACAATAGCAAAGACTTGGAATCAACCCAAATGTCCATCAGTGACAGATTGGATTAAGAAAATGTGGCACATATACACCATGGAATACTATGCAGCCATAAAAAAGGATGAGTTTGTGTCCTTTGTAGGGACATGGATGCAGCTGGAAACCATCATTCTTAGCAAACTATCACAAGAACAGAAAACCAAACACCGCATGTTCTCACTCATAGGTGGGAACTGAAAAATAAAATTAGTTTTTATGTGATTTTTTTTAACAATGGTTAATTTTTATCCTATGCATGCTTTTATAGAATACCATGAAAATAATTTTAGATATTGCTGATATAAAATAGAAGTATGTAATGAACAACTTTTTAAATAGAACTCTGGATTCTGATTTGTTTTATGAAAACTAGTAATAAATAATATGTAAAACTTCGCTGAAAAAGTAAAGAAAATGGGTATAGTTCTTTTTTGACCTCAGGATTAACCTGTTTGAATTAATATGAATTAAATGTTTATGTTGTCTGTTTTCTGATTCTGAATTTTATGTATATACATTTTAAAATAATTCTTTTACAGTTACCTTCCCTGGTTTGAAGTGTATTACAAGCTTCTAAATACTCTTGCAGATTACTTGGCTAAGGAACTGGTAAGCTATTTTTTCCCCATTTTTAAATTGTGGTAAAATATTTATAAAACAAAACTTACCATTTTAACCATTTTTAAGTGTGCAGTTTTGTGACATTAAGTACATTAATGCTGATCTGCAATCATCAATACAATACATCTTTTTTTCCTTGCCTGTCTAAAACTCTGTCTGTACCCATTAAACAATATCTACTTATTCCTCCCCAACCCTCACCATCCATGGCAACCACTGTTGTATCATCTGTATGAATTTGAATACCCTCTGTATCTCATATAAGTGGACTCACACAGTATTTGTCCTTATGTGCCAAGTGACTGGCTTGTTTCATTTAACATAATGTCTTCAAGATTCATCTATGTTGTAGCATGTGTCAGATTTTTTTTCTTTTTGAGACTGAGTATGAATACACCAGTTGTTCATTCATTCTTCTGTCAGTGGTCACTGGGGGTGCTTCCTCTACTTTTTGGCTATTGTGAATAATACAGCTATGAAAGTGTTTGTACAAATAATGTTCCAGCCTTTGAGTTCAATTCTTTTGGGTAGATACCTAAAAGTGGAATTACTAGGTAGTAGGGTAATTCTGCGTTTAATTTTTTGAGGAATCATGAGAGCATTTTTCCACAGTGGTCACACTATTTTGCATTCCCATCAGTAACGTACAAGGTTCCGTTTTCCTCACAATCTTGCCAATACTTGTTCTTTTCTTTTCTTTTTTGTTTAATAGCGTCATAATATGTGTGCAAAGTGGTGTATTATGGTTTTAATTTGCATTTCCTTAATGATTAGTAACACTGGACATTTACTTGCCATTTTTATATCTTCTTTGGAGAAGGTCTTTAATTGTGCAGACAGAAAATTACAACCCAGGGTAAATGCTCTGGGGACACAACAAGCATCACCTAAGTCAACCTGGAGAGTCAGGAAAAGTCTCTAGAGGAGTACTTTTGGAAGTCTTCTATCTCTGTGTCTCCAATAGCAAATAGGTATTGAGTCAAAAGTTGTAGAAGGTCTATTCAAGTCCTTTGCCCATTTTAAAATCATGTTGCATTTTTTGTTGATGAATTGTAGGAGTTCTTCATATAGTCAAATATTCATTTCTTATTAGATAGATGATTTGCGAGTATTCTATCCCAATCCATGGTTTGCCTGCCCTTTTGTTCTTTTGACAGTGTTACTTGATGCACAAAAGTTGTTAATTTTAATGAAGTCCAGTTTATCTGCTTTTTCTTTTGTTACGTGTGTTTTTGTGTCATATCCAAGAAATCTTTTCCAAATTCAGTGTTTCAAAGCTTTCTTCATATGTTTTCTTCTAAGAATTTTATAGTTTTAGCTCTCAATAAAAGTCTGTATGCTTTTTTTTTTCTTAAAAATAGAAATAAAAGCTGAAGTTTGCTTTTGAATGAACAAACTTCTCTGGGATAATGATTTAAAAATTTTTCCCTTAATCTTTGATTCTAAAAAAATTTTTTTTGGAGACAGAGTCTTGCTCTGTTGCTCAGAGCTGGAGCGCTGTGGTGCAATCATCAGTCACTGCAGCTTCAATCTCCTAGGATCAAGCAATCCACTCACCTCATTCTTTCAGTTAGCTGGAACTATGGGTGGGTGCCACCACAAATAGCTAATTTTTAAATTGTTTTGTACAGATAGATTCTCACTACGTTGCTTAGGCTGGTCTCAAATTCTTGGCCTCAAGGGATCTTCCTGCCTCTGCTTCCCATCTACCAAGCCTAGCCATTCTTTGATGTTTTTAACAAGAGCTAATTTACTAAAATATTAGCTATGCTATTTGATACAATTTAATTGAAATAAAATATGTTTTTAAAATTCTTTATAATTGTCTATTATCTATTAATTTTTACATTTAGGGTGTGCTTTCCATTCACTTGTTATCTGTTTAAATTCTTATATGGTACTCTGTCACTCTTGACATTGTGTTTTTCTTGATTTCCCTGACATTGTCTCTTCTTCGTTTTACTTACGTCCTCAGCTTCTCTCTTGGGCCTTTTTTCTCCATCTACACCTAAAATTTTGATGTTATTTATGTTATATTCTTGATTCTCTTTTCTCTAGGTACTATTTATGGGTATTTCAGACACACTCTTTGTCTGCATACCACTCTTTTCTGTTTAAGATGAACTTTCTGGAAGCTGATGTTATTCCACTGCTTACAATCGCTTCATAGTCTCCTCTTTTTCTTAGAATAAAATTTAAACTTGTTTGCAGCATGACGTATAATAACTTTATGATCTGGCATCTGACCTTCTCTTTGGATTAATCTACTCCCGCTCATCTGCTGCACATAATGTACTATCTAATTATTTTGAGCCACTTAAATTTCCCAGAACATAACTCTATACAGTTGTCTGTCAAGATTACAAACCACTCACTAATTGCTACTGGTAGAATACTTGTCTTTTAAGAGTTAATGTAACTATCTTTTGAAACAAACCTAATGTCAGCACAGGTACTTCTCTAGAGACTTTTCCTGACTCTCCAGGTTAAGTTAGGTGATACTTTCTGTAGGTTTCCAGAGCATTTACACTGGGTTGTAACTGTGTCTGCACAAGTAAAGTAATAATTGAGAGATGGAACTGTTCTATCTCTGTGTCTCCCATAGCAAATAGATGTTGAGTCAAAAGGTGTAGAATAAGTAAAAATACGTTAGAAAGTTTCAAATATTCAGTTTTTGGATCTCCATTTTATAATTGTAGAAACTAATATCCAGCTATTGTGACTTTTTTGTTCACTGGATTCTGTATGCCAGTGCTTTAAAGGCAATCATCGACAAAATTGTTGATGGAGTTTTTAAAATAGGAATATAGTAAGACAGAGTGTTATTTTCCTCACCCTAAATTTTTCCATAGGAAAAGCTTATTTTCAGCTTTTCAGTATACAATCATTTATTTCTTTACATCATTTTAAAAGTTCTATTGACTGAATCTGGAGCAAAATATCCTCCTGGGCATAGTATTTTGAGTTTTTATTTAATTTTTAAAAATTATATAGCCTTGGTAGATACAGTTCAATTAAAACGGTATAGACATTTCTGTCTGCCCAGTATGGTGAAACAGGCATTATGTTAAACATGGATACAGACTATATTTGAAAATAAGCTTGTAAGAATACAAATTAATGGTTTTAATAAATCAGCTGAAATCCTTCATTTGCCTTAAGTGGTGGTGGTCCCAAATAAAGGTGAGTGTGGTCGCTTTAGAATTAAAATCTTTATAAATGTTCCCAGGAAGCTTAATGCAGTATTGGTAGTACAAATGTAACTGGACTTTTGGCAATGTGGTTTGAACCCTGAAATCCTGGATTTAAATTCTACTTTTTTTTTCTTTTTTTTTTTGAGACGGAGTCATGCTCTATCCCCTAGGCTGAAGTGCAGTGGTGCAATCTCATCTCACTGCAACCTCCACCTCCTGGGTTCAAGCGATTCTTCTGCCTCACTCTCCCAAGTAGCTGGGACTACAGGCATGCACCACCACGCCTGGCTAATTTTTATATTTTTAGTAGAGACAGAGTTTCACTGTATTGGCCAGGCTGATCTCAAACTCCTGACCTCTTGATCCACCCACCTCGGCCCGCCAAAGTGCTGAGGATTACAGGTGGGAGCCACCACTCCCGGCCTAAGTTTTATTTTCTAATACCCTTGTGACTTTGATTAAAGTACAGTGTTTATAAGTCAGATAATCAGTTCTGTCACTTGGAAAGTAAGGGAGGTATTATTTATATAAATAGGATTTAAATGTGTTATTAATAAATTAAGGTAGTCCTTTTACTCTTCTAAATTTGTCAACCAAATTTTTTATAATGTAATTGCAAGTTTTAATGTCTGTCAAAAGTCTAGTTGTTTACGTGTATGTGTTCATGCATGTAAATATTTTTCTCTATGTATTTGATTGCTTAATTCTATGAAGTATATGTTAACATCATTTTACAGTTGAATAATTTTATGTTGAAGCTGTGCAGTCATTCACTTGCCTAAGAAAATAAAACTGGAAATACAACTATTTATTTTTTTGCAATCAAAAGTCAAAACCAGAATTCTGGTTAAATTATTCATGATAATTTCTTGTTCTTTGTTTTTGTGAATGTACATGTGGAATTCACATTAATTATATTACTTGTCCAAATTTTGAATACTTTTCCTTTATTTAGTAACTTTTAGTAACTCTTACTGATAAATTATTACTATCCCCATAATGTGTATCATTTTTTTCCCTGATGCCATCAGTAATACTGGAATACGTAAAAGAAAATAGCTATAAGCAAATTTATATAATTTTGGCTTTCTGAGAAGAAGAAATAGGGAAGGTTCCATTTGTGTTCCTTAGAGGAAGAAATATTACAAGTTTATAGCATTAATTAAACCAGAAGTAAATCTGGAATTGTGGTACTTTTTTCTGTTCATTTCTAATTCACTGCCATGGGTTATTTAAATAACGTTTACAGTTCAAGTTATCCTTACCTGATCAATGTAAGAGAGTGCAACAGATTTTTAAAAACTAGTCTAAAAATTTTTGTACCTGTAGGAATTTTGTATAAACAGAGTATCAATATGTTCCACAATTTTCTATGGTGCACTTCATTGTTTAACAGCCCAAGAGAGAAATTGTTTATTTCGCAGTCCTTCTACAAGGTAATTCTAAGACATAACCATATGAGTCTTTTTTACAAAGGTGATTGGTATTATCTATAGTATTCCCTGATACATTTTGTTGTTTAAATGATCAAGAGATAAATTGTTTATGGCTTTTCATGTTATTCTGAAGAATATTTCAAATAGGTAGTTTTGAATGAATACTTTTGAAAGTAGTTACAGAGATCTGATTTATTAAGTTTTGGTATAAATATATAGACAAGGCATAAGAAAGATCGTGAGAAGTCTAAGTCTCATATCCAAACTTACTAAAATTGCTAACTTCTCTGAACAATTGCCTTTTCCTTTGATTTATTCTCTCCAACATGAAAATAGAGAATAAGGATAATTATGTCTATAAAAATCTTTGTATATTTATTACTGGATTTGTAGTGTGTGATGCAGAAAAATTGAGGGTGCACATCAAGGCACATTATTATTATACAAATCCTATGAAGTACATTTGCTCTATGTTTTATTTAATCCCATTTATTGTGGATCAAGTAGTGACCAGTAGCAATGTAGAAAAGAAATATTTAGAATAACCTGTATATTCCATTTTAGTGCAATAATCTTACTTAAATTGTTTCTATTCCTTAAAAATTGCTTTGGGATTTTAAAATGAAAATGGAAAATGAGTGTACTCTGTGATCTGATAAAAAGTTGTATTACTATTTTTATTCAATCCCGTTGTTCTTACTGGATTTAATGATTTAGATAATTTCCTTTTATAGCATTAGTATATTTTGTAATAACTAAGTTTTTCAAATACACATTTATACTAAATAGAAATATTGCCATTTTTCTTCTGGATAAAGGAATTTAAATATGTTTTCATATTTATTAGACTCACATATTTCAATTTCAGTTATTTGAAATGTTTCTGTGGAAAACATTTATATAAAATATGTCAAATATGAAAAGCCACAGTAGACTATTTTATCAAGTAGTTTTAATTGCAGTTGCTTGGTATATGTTTTATTTATAAAATGTACTTTTTCTTTTGCCCTAGGAAAATGATTTGAATGAAACTCTCAAATCACTGTATAACCACCCAGTACCAAAGGCAAATACTCCTGTAAATTTGAGTGTGGTAAGTATTCAATCAGTAATTGTTTTTGGGAGTCATAGCTATGTCTCAATTTCGTTAACAGCATGTGAACCTTCAGGCAATTCTTTGCCAAGTCATCTCTGCTTCCAGGAAAACTTCACTGCTAGCACTAACATAACAAGGTGATAATACTGTGTATTTTTAACGTGCTGTAACTATCATAACTTGATATATTGGGTGTGTATTTTTATAATTTTGTTAAATTATTGAATTTAAAAAATTTTATTATAAACTAAAAGTGACCAAATCTATGAGGATATTTCACTTCTAAGAAACATTGATTTGGCTGGGCACGGTGGTTCACGCCTGTAATCCCAGCACTTTGAGAGGCCGAGGCGAGTGGATCACGAGGTCAGGAGATTGAGACCATCCTGGCTAACACGGTGAAACCGCGTCTCTACTAAAAATACAAAAAATTAGCCAGGCGTGGTGGCGGGCGCCTGTAGTCTCAGCCACTCGGGAGGCTGAGGCAGGAGAATGGCATGAACCTGGGAGGCGGAGCTTGCAGTGAGCCGAGATCGCGCCACTGCACCACTGCACTCCAGCCTGGGAGACAGAGCTAGACTCCATCTCAAAACAAAGAAAAAAAAGAAACATTGATTTTCAGGTGAAATTTGTGCATAATAAAGGAATATACGCACATGCTTAATAACCCTCCTAAAATGAAAACAGTACTTAGTAAGAATAGAAAATGACATATAACATATAAATATGTGACAAAAATTTTGGGTGAAAAGTTTCGTCTTCTTTCTCTATACATTAATGTATCTTCTGGTATTATCACAAACTACTGGAAATATGATTGAATTGCTGTTTGTCAGACAGCAAGCCTGAGACGGGATTTATTGTACTATTGAAACTTTTTAACGAAGTGTACCATCTGTATATAAAAACACTCATGTTGTGGGAGTTTTTGTAAATGCCCAAAGTTCAAGATAATAAAATATGGATATTTTTATTAATTTTCCTCATGGATTTGGCATATGGGCTAGACTATTAAAATTTATTTATATTAATTTTTTTCTTCTAAAATAATAAACTTTTCTTAATAAAGAAGAAAAGTATAATGTTGCAAGAGAAAATGAGAGAAAAGCTAACTCAAAGTATATATAATAATAAGTCTTCTGTGTTTTTATGAGACAGGGAAGTTGTTATTATATTTTCTTTGGTAATAGCTTTCCTCTTTTTAAAAATTAATTAATTTTTAAATTTTTCCCTAAGTTATTGGGGTCCAGGTGGTATTTGGTTACATGAGTAAGTTCTTTAGTGGTGGTTTGTGATATTTTGGTGCACCCATCACCCTAGCAGTGTACACTACACCATATTTGTAGCCTTTATCCCTCACCCTCCCTCCCACTCTTCCCCTCAAGTCCCCAAAGTCCATTATATCATTCTTATGCTTTTGCATCCTCATATCTTAGCTTCCACATATCATTGAGAACATACAATGTTTGGTTTTCCATTCCTGAGGTACTTCACTTAAAATAATAGTCTCCAGTCTCATCCAGGTCGCTACAAATGCTGTTAATTCATTCCTTTTTATGGCTGAGTAGTATCACAGTTTCTTTATCCACTTGTTGATTGCTGAACATTTGGGTTGATTGCACGATTTTGCAGTTGTGAATTGTGCTGCTACAAACATGCGTGTGCAAGTATCTTTTTCATTTAATGACCTTTTTCCTCTTGATAGATACCCAGCACTGGGATTGCTAGATCAAATGGTAGTTCTACTTTTAGTTCTGGAAGGAATCTCAACACTGTTTTCCATAGTGGCTGTACTAGTTTATATTCCCCCCAGCAGTGTAGAAGTGTTCTCTGATCACCGCATCCAGGCCAACATCTATTATTGATGCAGATGCAGTGATCAGATGATCAGTTTAATATTTGTTTAGTAGATGTGTGAGGATCATATTTTGGGATAACTACATGTTTAAGGAGTTTTAAACGTTGAAAAATTATGTTTTATTGCTGTTTGCTAAATAATATGGTGGCTGATGTTTGCAGAAGTATTTTGATTTTTTGATTATGGCCTTTCTTGCAAAAGTAGGGTGGCATCACATTGTGGTTTTGATTTGCATTTCCCTGATTCATTAGTGATGTTGAGCTTTTTTTTCCATATGTTTCTTGGTCGTTTGAATATCTTCTTTTGAGAATTGTCTATTCATGTCCTTAGCTCACTTTTTAATGGGATTGTTTCTTCTTACTGATTTGTTTGAATTCATTGTAGATTCTCGACAGTAGTCCTTTGTCAGATGTATAGACTGTGAAAATTTTCTCCCATTCTGTGTGTTGTCTGTTTACTCTGCTTACTGCACCTTTTGCCCTGCAAAAGCTCTTTAGTTTAATTAAGTCCAAACTATTTATCTTTATTTTTATTGCATTTGTTTTTGGTTTCTTGGTCATGAAATCCTTGCCTAAGCCAATGTCTAGAAGGGTTTTTCCAATGTTATATTCTAGAATTTTTATAGTTTCAGATCTTAGATTTAAGTCCTTAATCCATCTTGAATTGGTTTTTGTATAAGCTGAGAGATGAGGATCCAGTTTCATTCTCCTACATGTGGCTAGCCAATTATCTCAGCATCATTTGTTGAAAAGGGTGTCATTTCTCTACTTTATGTTTTTGTCTGGTTTGTCAAAGATCAGTTGGCTGTTAGTATTTGGGTTTATTTCTGGGTTCTCTATTCTGTTCCATTGGTCCATGTGTCTTACCCAAATTTCATCCTGTGATTTCATGTCATAGTAGTGTTCTCTTACATTATTCCATTCTTTAACCACTACTATTTTGTAGTAGACTAAGGTGGTTAGCACCTTAGTTCTGTTGCTTAGTACTTCAAAGAGTTCTTAGTCTAGAGCCTCTCCTTCCAGTCCTTTCTACAAAAGACTGTCAGATTACACTTAGTTAAACTATATAAAGTCCCCTGCTGAAAACCTTTTGTAGCTTCCCCTTTTCTATAAAAGTTGTCCAAACTTTGGCCATGCTTTCAGGACCATCCATTTCTTAGATTCAATCCAACTTTCAATTTTCCCCCTGTATTCTGGTCACGTTGTTTTGTTCAGCTTCTTGAATGAACATCATGCTTTCCTTTTGGACTAAAGCCTCTTTGTTGACTGTGTTGTTAGTCTAGAACTTGCTCAGTCTTCAACTTTGTGAAACCTCTTGTCATACAACTTAACGTGTTTTTTCTTTCCCGTGACCCTCTCTGCTGCTTTATGTCTGCATCTTCTTTTGTTGCACACTGTCAAAGTGGAAAGGTTTAATAGTCGTTTGTAGACTGGGTGATAAAAAGCTAAGAATAACCTGGAATTTTTAACCCAAATTTGAGAGTCAGCAGCGGACATAGTTGTAGCTATTTGAAGGATAAAATATAGAAGAGCATAGAACAGAGGCTAAGTTCTAATTGCCCAGATAGACTATAGGGAAAAAGAAAGGAGATCCAGTGAAAGAACTGGGGGAAAGAGCAGTTAAGAAGAAACTTAGACTTACAGGTCACTGACACCCAAAGAATGCAAGGTTTGTGCTCAGTGGAAATACAGTAGAAATGCCAAGGGAAAGGTCAAGGAGAATAAAGAAGAGCCTGGTATTTTCCAAAAAAATGACCATTTCTCTTTGAAAGTGTTATATTTATAAAATGATTCTAATACTATTAAAGAGTTAAGGAAAATAAAGGTGCTAAGACAATGGAGGTGGCATTAATGAGAAATACAAATGTGTTCTCCCTTTAAATTTGAGTATCATATTTGTTCAGGGGTAAATAAATATCTTACAAAAATACATCTCAAACATACCAGCTATTGAAACACTTCTTCTTTATTAATAAGAATCATAAATTAAAGATTTCTACACCTTTTTACCTATGATTAGAAGATTTTAGGTTAGGTCACAGTCACTAAATGTGTAATGTTAGCCAAGAAAGTTAATGTCTTTAGATGATCCTTTTTTTCCATTTGAGAAATTGAGCATGTCAACTTTTCAGAAAGTTGTTTTAGTAATCAAATAAAATGATATGTCTGGATGTGCCATGAAGAACTATTCAGGTGTTGGTTGTAGTAAATTGAAGTTTCATCCCATCTGGAGAAAATACTTTCTTCTGAAATAACTAAATTGTAGCTGAAATAATCTTGTCAAAGGAAATTGAGTGACTGTGTTCTGTTCCTATGTATAATAGTTATTTCCATAATTAAGCCTTCTTATATGCACTTGAATTAATAGTCTGATAGTTTCAAGTCTTGTATACCTATTCTAAAGTTACAATTTTTTTTTTTTGAAGTGGAGTTTCGCTCTTGTTGCCCAGGCTGGAAAGCAGTGGCGCGATCTCGGCTCAGTGCAAACTCCACCTCCGGTTTTGAGTGATTCTCCTGCCTCGGCCTCCCAAGTAGCTGGAATTACAGGTGCCCACCACCACACCGGGCTAATTTTGTATTTTTAGTAGAGATGGGGTTCCACCATGTTGGTCAGGCTGCTCTCAAACTCTTGACCTCAGGTATTCTACCCGCCTTGGCCTCCCAAAGTGCTGGAATTACAGGCGTGAGCAACTGCACCCAGCCTAGTTATAATATCTTAAGTATTGATAAAATCAGCTGTTATGTTTGTTTACCATGATTAATTAATTGCATTTGATTTCAATAACAGACTCCTAAAGTAATGTATCTGGTGTTATGCTGTTAAATAAGTGGCAAATTGGGGACTAGGACACTTGTCTTCAGCTACTAGAGGAGATTTTAGTTTTATGATGCCAGATTAAAATGAATGATTATGGAAGTTTTTCTTCCTGTACAAGTGGATAATGGCCACTAGTAATCAGAGATTTTTATAAAAAGTTAATGTCTAATGAGAATGCTTTTTTTGAAACATTTCAAAATCATTAAATATCCACAGCATTCTCTACTCTTGTAATATGAAAATACTTTCATTAGGATTTTTCTAGCATAAAATTAGTAAATCAGCATTTAAAATAATATTTATAATTAATGTTATTCAAGTGCTTTTTAGTGGCTAATTTGGCTACATGGGTTTGTCTCAATTACACAGCGAATTGTTGTGTAAGCTTCTCCCATGAAAGTAAGATACTCATTTTTTTCTCTCATGTATTATAAGAACCAAGAGATATTTATTGCCTGTGAGCAAGCTCTGAAAGATCAGCCTGCTCTAATACCGGTGAGTTAAAAGGACATTGGCTTCTAAAAATCACTATTAAATAGGAAAAATAATCACTTATTTCACTATGCCTTTAAGCTTCACTCCAGCCCTTTGGGAAGTGGTAAATTTGACTCTTTTAAGAAAATTAATCATTTGGAATATACAGTATTTTCTGTTTGTACTATCTTTTAAAGCATAGTTTTGTGAAATATAGTACTATTAAAAACCATTCCAAATAAAAGTAGCTTATAGAGACCAAAATCTATGCATATTCTCCATTTTCAATAGTAGTAATTTTAAAGTATATTCACAGCATGAGATTTGTCACATTTTTTGGTCTCAAGATCACAAAAGATCTTGTGATTTATCTCCTATTGTTCTTCTACCCTGGAAAATTATACATTATGACTGTGTTAACTAGCCTTGTTCTGACTAGTTCAACTGTGCTCAAATACTGGCCAAAATGTTTCTTTTCTAATCATTAATAAGAAGATAGTATTAAATATGTCCTTATGTGATTAAGATATTAAAATAATTTTGAAGAGTAATATGAACAGAAAATAAAACATTTTTTGATGATTAAGTTGCACTTTGATTCTGGGTGGTCAAATTTGGGAACATGGGAAACATGAAGGCATATACACACATTGTACTCTATGTAAGTATTGTGGTGAACTGTTTTACTTCTTTAAACATTGTAGAAGCTCATAAATATTTGTTTGGCAGATGTGTAACGATCATATTCTGGGACTACTACATGTTTAAGAAGTTTTAAACATTGAAAAATTATGTTTTATTGCTATTTGCTAAATAATAGGGTTGTTGATGTTTACAAAAGAGATTTGTTGTGACTTACCGTAGAAACTCAGGAATATTAATAGATTTTGATATATTTGGTTAGCAAGCTTTAATTTTTCCAGTCTACCTCAACTAAATGTGTTTTAATAATATGTATGTTTATATGTATGCATAGGTGTGTATGTCTATATATACTATATATACACACACACATATGTAGGTATATATGTACAAAATAAACCTTTCAGTAATATACTCTTTTTTTGCCTTAACGATTTTTTCCTATTTTTATTTTAATTTTAAGGTCAAATATTTTTAAACAAGTCTTAACTTTTTGTATGGTAATGCAATTGTTAAATCTCATATAAACCCACTAACTCATTTAAGAGTCTCTCAAATTCAACAAATCCTGAATATCATTCAATGGCATTTATTAATTTACTCAATATATTTTTTTCTGATTTTCATTACAAATTATATGCTACCAATTTTAATTATCTTTCATATGTGATTTATTTTTGTTGATTAGCATTCCTACTTCATTGCTCCTGATGTAACTGGACTCCCAACAATACCTGAGAGTGTAAGTTTTCTATTTTCTACTTTAATTATTCCTATATTATGAATTTTATTTATTTTGGTCTCACTGTTTGTGCATTTTTGTATAGAGAAATAGAATACATTGTAATTATCTGTGTTTGTGAGAAATAATGAAGAAATAAGGAATAATGATATTATTTTCTTTTCTTCTTTATATGTCTGCCCCTTTACCACCTTCTTAGTATCTGGTTGTAGATAAGGAAAATTAAGGACAATAATAGAAGGAAAACTATTTCTGTCATTTTTAGGTAGGATCATATATATTCAGTTAGGTCTTCAGCTTCACTGTATATGATAGAAGAGATACCATAGGACATGGCTTCTACTTGTGGAGAAGAATTCTAGCAATGGGAAATGTCTTCACACAAATTGTTATTTTAGTGAAATTGACATAGTATTTTTATGTTCCTTCTATATAATGCTTCAAATCATAGATGAACTGTTCTTAAGTTCCTGATTTTAATTTAAAGTAATACATATCTTGCAAGGTTTGATGGCTATTGTAAGAAATTATAAAAATTGCTAAAATTTGCATTTTATTTCGAGTCCTAATTCTAGCCATACTAGAAATATTTTCAGTATTTTAATAGTTACTACAAATTAGTATTTGTAGAAATGTCTACATAGATAAGTAGAAGTAACAAATATGCTTTTATGATTTTTGGATAACTGTGAAAATGAAATATTCCTTTATGTAATTTTTCTTCAGCTTCCCTTGGAAAGTTAAAATGAATCAGTAGGAATAATTCGATCAAAAGTAAAGGAAAAACCAACAGGAAAAAAGTATTTCAATAAATACTTATTATTTACTTTGGGATTCTAGTGTTTTTCCAAATGTTTTCAAACCTACTGAGTGGTTTCTAAAAGCATGTGGTTAGTGAAGGAAGTCCAAGAAGACAATCGTAAATTGTCTAATATCAAACCAACACTATCAATGGTGTTTTCAGTACAGATGGTTCCAAAAAACCCTTATGAAAAGCTATGCATTAAGTTTCTTGTATGGGCCTGAGATAGATCATCAAAGCTCTCAGGTTATATAATAGATCCTAAAGTCATGACTGCTGTACATTGTGGGCCAGGTACTCCCTGCTAATGTTTTCTTTAAGGCTGACTGACCATGCTTTGACTTATATGACCCTTGTCCCTTCACTTCAGAGTTTCAAAGTCAAATTTGCTTCCTTCTACTCACTCTCCTATTTAGCTTTCTCTTACATTTACTAACAAACAACTAATAGCTCGATTTAACAAATGTCACATTTTAAAAAGAAGATTGCTTTGAAAGTTTCAAAGAAACAAACATTCAAAGGAAAAACTGCCACTGAGAATATATATTTTTACATATCTATTAACATGTTTTGTTTTGCAAAAAGTCCTGTTTAGGGAAACGAAAGCAAGAGAATAAGCATAAGGCAGCACCCTATGTTGAGAAATAATTCCCCATCTAAAAATTACCTTTCTTTTAGATTATAGGGAATATACTAATCTTGAATGACATGAATTTTTGTATGGAGAGTTGCATTGGAAGGTGAGAAAGAAAGGAATAAACCTCTTCCCACCAAATTCAACATCACCCACTGATAGTTACAGGTTCTATTGTTGTGCTCTGTCATGATTACCAATTTGTGATGGTAAAGTTTCTACCTCCTGGAAATAGAAGAAATAATTGGATTTCTTATATTCTTGCCCAACTAAAAGTTTTAGCCTACTAGGTCATAGCCCACCTGATACTACAGTTTTTGTTTGTTATATCGTATTCAATCCCTTAATTAGCTTGTTGCTCTCCGATTTATTTGTTTCATTATAGAAAATTAAAAATAAATAATAAGAAAGGAGAAGATCTAAAAGTCAAAGTTAATGTAGTTTATCCCAGTTTCATTTCATGTGGGGAATAAGAGTGCTAAATTAAGGAATCAATTTAGAACATCATCAAATTATATTTGATTATAGTGGATATAAAGCAAGCCTGATGTGAAGTATAAACAAGTGAATTTCCTTAATAAAGTACCAAAGGGCTGTTTTATAAATTCACCTCATCCTTTGGGTACCTCGTGCATGCTGTGTTGTATCAGTTGATGATTGTGCCTGCATAGTGAATGGCAAACATGAAAAGACTCAAATGTATTGTCTAGGCAGCAGTTTCTGAAGCATCAGTGTATGTAAGAATCACCAGAAGTATTTGTTTAAAAAGCAGATTCTTGGCCAGGTGTGGTAGCTCATACCTGTAATCCCAACATTTTGGGAGGCCGAGGTAGGCAGATCATCTGAGGTCGGGAGTTTGAAACCAACCTGGCCAACATGGTGAAACCCCATCGCTACTAAAAATACAAAAATTAACCAGGCGTGGTGGCGTGCACCTGTAATCCTAGCTACTCTGGTGGCTGAGGCACGAAAATTACTTGAACCTGGGAGGTGGAGGTTGCAGTGAGCCAAGATCTCACCACTGCACCCCAGCCTGAGTGACAAAAAAAAAAAAAAAAAAAAAAAGCAGATTCTTGGGGACATACACTAAAGATGACAATTCAGCAGGTCCAGGTTGGGGCCCAGGAAATTAGCTTCTTTTCAAATACTTAGTGGGTAAGAAAGTTGGGAAATCTGAGATCTTCTGATCATCCTCTGAAAATACTTTCCTTGAGTAGGGTTATGTTTCAACTAATAATAGAGTGTTATGTATGTGGCAGCAGACTAGTATTACACTTAATTATTTTAATGAATACCATTTTAAATAATATCCTTTGAACTTCAAGACTTTCTGGTAAATGTGTAAAATGTTTTCCTTCACGTTCACTGTGAGCTGTAACTTACACAATTATTTTTCACTTGTGCAGAGAAATCTTACAGAATATTTTGTTGCCGTGGATGTGAACAACATGCTGCAGCTGTATGCCAGTATGCTGCATGAAAGGCGCATCGTGATTACCTCGAGCAAATTAAGCACTGTAAGTACTTCACACTTCTTTTAAGTAGCAGGTATTGAGTGTTTCACAAAAAGACCTAAAAATCTCTGCAGATTTAGAAATGTGCTATGTGTGCTTAGAAGACAATATCTACATACTTTTTTGATATATGGTTTTAATCTGGCTCTTGAAGTACAAAAGTCTGATTTATAGGAAGCCTTCTCAGATGCATTAAGTCAGGTTAATTATTTTTTCTTATCAGGAGCTGAGAGTTTTTTTTTTTTTTTTCTTTTTAACTCTCCAGAGTTCATTTTAGTGCCTTCTACCATATAAAGAATTCTTAAGAGCTATTGTGAGATTTTTATTATTCACTTGTGGCTTTTTCCATTGGAGCTACTTGAAAGAAATCAAGGGGCCATGATAATAGCTGCTATCCTAACCTGGTAATAGGTAGATTCATCTTTGTTGCCAAGTAGTGGTTTGGGAGTAGATTGTATAATAGTTTGATTTAGAGCAGCTCTTCAGACTGATAATAACTTAAAAGTCAAAGTAGCATTTTTTATAAATCACAGGTTTTATGACATTCACTAAAATGTTCTTTTGGAAGGTATTTATTAATATGGTAAAGGCAGTGAGAAGATAAAGATTTTTCTTGGGTATAGAAAAATATTCAAAAGTATTTTGCTAGATTTTATAATTTTTTCTCATTTACGCATTAACAATTTAATACTTTCAACTTAATTTTTTTAAATACGAATTTAAATATAGTTTTAAGTAATCTGTGATGTATTTATTTAGCAAAAACCATTATTCAATATTGCATGAATTTTCTTCATAAATTTGATTAATTGATAAATAAAACAATATTTTTAATGTTTTCTATGTTTTCTTCTTCTATAGTAGAAATAAAAACGTTATTCTGTATTTTAGCATTTAAAGTAGAAGGAGCTTCAGGATTTCTGTAGGATATCTGTTTAACATTTAACAGTGAGAAAGGTATTTTCAGCAAGATTAAATGACCACCTCAAGGCCAAACAGCTAGTTAGAGACAGATAATGTGAAATTGAGTATTTTGATTCTAATTTTTGGGTTATTTCCATTACTCTACAATTGAAAAAAATACATACGATTGTACATATAATTTGTATGAATTTATTTTGAATTATAATTTGATATGCTCACCCCTAAAAGTTGAAAATGCACTTTACATATTGAAAAATATATGCATTTAAAAGAGTAAGGGTGGATAAATGATGCAGTAATATCAGAGAAAAAGTACTAATCAATGACCCAAGTAATTTTTTTCTTACACATTTTAGAGATGTCAAGAAATTCAGTTTGACTCATTTGATATTTTAATTTGCCTTTCTGCTATTTTTAACTTACTATTGAAGTGAAACCATTCTTCTTCTTTCCCCCCAGCTCCTCCTCCTCATTTTTAAAACATGATTGTTTTAAGATTAAAAAAGGATATTTTAAAATGGATATTGTCCTCAAGATTAAAAAGATTGTATAATAGGCCTTGGAACTAATTCTTATCAGGATTAATTCATGTAACAAATGTTTATTAGGCACATACTATGTGCCAGGCACTTTCTAGTCATTAACCTTATTTGACTGGCATGAAACAGATTATAAACAAGTAAGCAAACAAATAGCTATTATTTATTAGCTAGGGTTACATGATGGATAAAGTGAGTGTGTGTACAGGGTAGAAAGTGATGGACAGGTTTCCATTTTATGTAAGGAAGGCCTCTCCAGTGAGGTAGTATTTTGTTTGTTTGTTTGAGACAGGATCTTACTATGTTGCCCAGGCTGGTCTCAAACTCCTGGGTTCAAGGGATCCTCCTGCCTTGGTAGCTGGGACTATAGGCACACGCCGCTGTGCCCAACTCAGTGAGGTAGCATTTGAGCAGAGATCCAAAGAAAGTGAGGGAATAGCTATGTGAGTGAAGCATAAGCTACTGTATTTGTGCATTGGAAATAAATCTGAGTATATGTTTTTGAAAAATATTGGTGTTTTGTTTTAATTTATATCAAGTAATCGCTCTTTGACTCAGTTTCTTTAAGTGTAGAGTAGGAGCAATAGTAGCCTTAATCTCATAGGGTTGATGTAAAGATTAAGGAAATACATATATATGAAGTGCTTAGAATGATATCTGCATAGAATAAATGTTTAGTAATTATGAGGTATATGAGATTATGAGATACAATTTTATAATAGCTTACATTTAATTTTTTTTTTTTTTTTTTGAGACAGAGTCTCACTTTGTCGCCCAGGCTAGAGTACAGTGACACAATCTTGGCTCACTCTAACCTCTGCCTTCCGGGTTCAAGTGATTCTTTTACCTCAGCCTCCCAAATAACTGGGACTATAGGTGCCTGCCACCACACCCAGCTAATTTTTGTATTTTTATTAGAGACGGGGTTTCACTATATTGGTCAGGCTGTTCTTGAGCTCCTGACCTTAAGCAATCCACCCGCCTTGGCCTCCCAAAGTGCTGGGATTACAGGCATGAGCCCCCTTACCCGGCCTCTACATTTAATTTTGTAATAGTCTGCATCTGCAGTTAGAGTAAAAATTAACGTTATTATCTTTTAATTTAGCATTTGGCTTAAAAAAATATTGCTATCATAAAGGCTTAGTATTTTGGGGGTGCTGTTTTCTATGTTTGATGTCAATTTACTATCAATCGTTTATGATGGTTCATGCAAACTTGATGGTGATGTCACCTCTAAGTTACCAGCTCTGTTTTGGTTCACTCTCTGGGACTGTTGGGCTGATAAAAGAAACATCATTCAAGTTCTCTTTCATGATCTTAGTCTTCTTTTGTGGAGGAAACTGCTTTACTTGAATCTATCTTGAATAATTCTTTTTTTTTCTTTCTTTCTTTTTTTTTTTTGAGACAGAGTCTCGACCTGTCACCCAGGCTGGAGTGCAGTGGCGCGATCTCCGCTCACTGCAAGCTCCGCCTCCCAGATTCACGCCATTCTCCTGCCTTAGCCTCCTGAGTAGCTGGGACTACAGGTGCCCACCACCATGCCCAGCTAAGTTTTTGTATTTTTAGTAGAGACGGGGTTTCACCTTGTTAACTAGGGTGGTCTCAATCTCCTGACCTTGTGATCCGCCCAACTGGGCCTCCCAAAGTGCTGGGATTACAGGCATGAGCCACCGTGCTCGGCAGAATAATTTTTTTATATATACAGTATATAAAATATATCTGCTATAAATTCCGTGCATACTGGCATTTAAGGTCAAGGACTGGTTTCTTAACAAATTAAAAGTAAACTATTTTTTAAAAAGAATTTAATGATATCTCTGAAACATCCAAAGAAGAAATAGTTATCAATGAATTTGCTTGTTTTTAAGCTTTTTATATTCTTATATTTTTATATATCATGGAGACTATAATGTACTTAATGTTAGGAATTACGTTTTATCCATTTTAAATTTTTTAAGTATACAGCCAAACTTAATTTTTAGAAGAATAGATGTAAAGGTGGCCTAACATTCATAATCCTATTGTAGTTTCAGAAATTTTGTTTGTCTCAGGTGTTCACTTTTTGACAATCGTGATTTTTCATAGTTACAATAGAATGATAATTATAAACCTTACAGCTTGCTGTAGGTTTTAGTGGTGACACTCTCATTAGAGAATCAGCTAGCTTGAGGGTCCTTTTCTTTAGGTGCTGTTTGTGGTTAAAAATGATAATTTCTTGCTGGGCACAGTGGCTGATGCCTGTAATCCCAGCACTTTGGGAGGCCAAGGCGGGCAGATCACCTGAGGTCAGGAGTTCGAGACCAGCCTGGCCAACATGGCGAAACATTGTCTCTACTAAAAATACAAAAATTAGCCAGGCGTGGTGCCATGCGCCTGTAGTCCCAGCTACTTGGGAGGCTGAGGCAAGAGAATTGCTTGAACCTGGGAGATGGCGGTTGCAGTGAGCCAAGATTGCACCATTGCACTTCAGCCTTGGTGACAGAGCGAGACTCAAAAAAAAAAAAGATTTTTAACCTTTAAAAGATAAAAAATTTAAAATTAAACAATTTTAAGATATGTAAGCACAGATATCAAGAATATTGTTATGTTTTCAACATTCTAATAGGTTTTCTCCCTATATTTTAAAATGTGGTATTGTGTTAGTACCTATTATTATATTTTTGCATGTTTGAGTTTAATGAATTGAGACATAATCAGTTTTGTTTTTATTCTGTTGATTCATACGTTATTCTGTTGATTTATACATTGTCAAGTACACATGGAAAGGTTTCTGGTAATCCTGAACAAGAACATTGATTTTATCCATGCTGTAGGTAGGCCATAGATGTTTAAGCCCCAAGTGAATCTTGGTAGACTAGCAGAACATTGTATTAGAGTCTCGTGTATTCAAAGCAGAGGCATAAATCATGATATTACAAGGGTGTATCAGTTGACTTACTGCTGTTTTGTGACCATAGGTAGGGAGGATTGCTGTTTAAAGCCATGTCATTGGTTCTCAAATCAGTCAGGCATGAAGCCTTGTCATATGCCTCTATAATTGTACCTCACCAGACTTTCTCTAACTAGTCAGCTGGGGCTGTGCATTTTGTCTCAAACACCCGGCTGGCCAGCATCTGACAGGAGCTTTCTCATCATCCTGTCAGTAATATGTTAACTAGAGTGTATCTTTGTGGCCTTTAGAAGCAGGTGGAAGGGATGCTTCTTTTAAAAGCAGATGTCTAAATGTTAGCTATTATTTTGACCATTATTTAGTTAGTAAGTATCACCCTCAGAAAGTCTATAAGCATATTAGTTACAGAGATTTGATTGTGTAGTGCATGTTATTTTGGGGATATTTAGAGCAAGCAATATGTTATGAGTGCTGGAATTACGTTAATAAACTGTAATTTCTTTCTTTGTTATAGTTGCCCCCAGGCATTTAAGCATATGCTTTTCTCTCCTTCTCTCATTAATTCCATAAAGGGCATGTGTAAAAAGAAATCTTTCGATCTCTGGAAAATCAGCTATTAAATGTAGATTTTATAGGTTTAGTCAGACTGA